CACTTCTTCTTTCTCCACCCGCCCCCCAAAAATCCACGCACGCACGCACACACACACACACACACACACACACACACACACACACACACACAGCACGCTTGAGTGCAGTCTAAGGGTTTCTGGTTAAACAAAATGCCTTAGTACGTACTGCGTACCAACAAATTTTATGGTTTGTATTCTTTTAAGCGACAAAAAGAATAGAAAGAGACAAGGAATACATCATCCTCACTATAAAGAAAAGAGGCGATAGTGCGGTCAAAAATTCATGGCGCAACTTATCCTCAAATATTTCTTAAACATTTCATTTTTTGAAATCTTTAACGAGTGAATCAACGTCACCCACACTTTGCACAACAATCATACTTTTTCCAAACAATTGAGGCTGTATGTAAAGTACTATAAATTTCAGAAAACTGAATCGTTTACAGCACTTCCCACTTCACACACTCATTTGCATACCATATGGCCTACAACACAGCTCCCTAATGACACTTTTTAGTGGGAAAATTCGTTAGATCTACCAGAAATAAATTTTGTTGTGAACACATTTTTTGCCTCAAAGTCAAAGGTTCTCAAAACATGTTTTCAATAAGCATAATGTCGCGATTAAAAACAAAACAATGGCGGACTTCCTTTTTTAAAAGCGATATTGCCTCAACTGTAAACCTTTTTAAATCACTAGAAACCACCCACTTGGAGTTTTTATTATTAAGGGATTTTCTAGAAAACAGTTAGCAAGTGTTTACAAAAATGTTGATCTGTTAAGACAAATTGATACAAGTCATCGTGCAAAAGTTGGAGAAATGAGGAGATATAATTTGACAATAACTTGCGCCACGAATTTCTGGCCGCACTATTGATGCAGTAAGAACGCCTGATTGCAGAATCCCAAAGTCATCATTCTATTCCGATGCGCAAAGTTGATGCACCAAAAGAAAGATAGAGCTATGACAGAGATGCCCTGTTAGTGTCCCTGAAAGGACCTCAACATTAAATCCTTCGACGTGGGAGAGCCTGGCTCCTAACAGACCCAAATGGAGAGCAGCAGTCACAGTCAGTAGCAAGTCATAAAAATAATAATGAGGTTTCACGAATAACATTGTTGAAGCAAGCTGCGTACATTCACGTGCGGAAATTTGATTGTTGTTGTTGTTGTTGTTGTTGTTGTTTTGTTTTGTTTGTTTGTTTGTTTGTCATTGTTGTTGTTGTTGTTGTTGTTTTTCGTAGTTTTTTTAGGGGGGGGGGGGGGGGTCTAAAGATGTGGCAAACTTTTTTCTGCCAGAATTGGTCTCTTTGGCCATAGCAGAAACTACAAATCATCTGTATCTTTAATTTTTCTGTTTCATTTAAGAAACGTTCACATCTGAGGATTTTTGCCTTTCAAATTGCTTTTTTTGTGTAGGTGTTTTTACGACCCCGTGGACACAATTTAGATCTTTTAGTAGGTGGGCTTCAACTCTGACTGTCAGAGGCAACTTGTACTGAGAGGGTTACAACATTTGAGCAGAAAGACTGGGATATTCAATAAAAATGTTCTACCTACTCGGGAATCGAACTCAAGTCTTAGTCTGCTGCGTGCGACTCGGAGTGACTACAGCTTCAGCAGTTATTGATGATCGACAGACATTGACTGACAAACTATAAAAACGGAATTATAGTGTGTTGCAACTTCATAAAAAGGAATCCGAGAGTGACTTTGTTATGCAATGTAATATGTAATCAGCTCTTACTCTTAGCCAAATTATGTCTGAGTTTCCCTTTTGAAAAGTGAATGAAGTACATCCAAAGAGCCGAAATTGGATCTGTTTTATTATTCTTTTTAGTTCACTTTAGGAGTCTGCTTTGTGAGTGGCTGTGCTTTGTGATATTGATTTGTCAATGAGTGAGGAGAAAAAACGGGTGAAATATATATATATATAGAGAGAGAGAGAGAGAGTGAGCGAGTTAGGGAAAGGAAGAGAGAGAGAAGAAGAAGAGGAGAGAGAAAGAAAGAGAAAGAGAAAGATGGATAAAGAGAGAAAGAGAGAGAAAGATTTATTATTATAATATATATATATATATATATATATATATTTCCGTGTCCCGCCTAGTATATCGGTATGAGCATGCCAGATCGTAGTTTCAATAATTAGCAAAAACCTTGAACGACGAACAGTCCCACTTTTGCTAGACACCCTGTCTCTATTACCGTTGTCAAGCCCCCTGAACTCCTCCAATTAGTGCAAGAGTTTCCACAATGCAGAGATATTCAATGAAATAATCTTCCTGCAGTCGAACCCCGACCACATGCTGCGTACATGAGCTAAGCATAAAAACCTAGTCAGTCATTACATCACATGCACAACAAGTTATCGCATTCAACTCGGATGAGAAGTTTAAATAGTCGGCATTATCATTTTTGCTACCATTCATCTATCCCAGCAAAAAAAAATTATGTTTTCTTTTTATTTCGTGATGCCAATGTCTAGACTCTAAAATAATATTATAACCAACTGCCTGAACGCAGAACTAAAGTTTATTTAGTAACGCCCCCCGTCCCCAAAGCCATATCTCTCTTGCCCTTTTTAACTCCCAGTGGAGCACAGGCCATCAACAACATTACTCCAGCGAAGCCTGTCGTGAGCATCCTTTTCTATCTGTTTCCATGATGTCCCCGCTTTTTCAATTTCTGCTGATACCGCTCGCCTCCATGTCATCTTAGGTCTTCCCTTCTTACGCTTTCCTTGTGGGTTCCATGTTAAGGCCTGCCTGATGATGCTTGTTGGGGGTCTCCTCAGGGTGTGTCCAATCCATTTCCATTTCTTCACCTGAATATCTTCCTTTACTGGCCTTTGGCTTGTTCTCTCCCACAGTTGAGCATTCGTGACTCGATCGTACCACTTGATCCCCACTATCCTTCGTAGGCATATAATTTCATTAACTGGTTCCAAGGTCTGTGCATAACAGATTTTGACGTTTTTATGTTCGACTCCCCTACACCAGGGGCCCACATTTCTCTGCACATGACACTATTAAAATTATTCACAATCACGTCAAGCAGGAAAATAATTGGTGTAAAAAAGTAATAGGCTATATTATATAATATATCTCTTTTCCAGTGGCGTCGCGTGAGTTGCAGACAAGGTGGTGCGTGATTGGAAGGTGAGAAAATGGGAAATAGGCTTAGAAGCTACTATTTAGATTTCTAGAGAAAGTCAATTAGAATCTGCAGGATATCCCGTTATCTATATATATATATATCAATATTTACAACTGTTTCTAGATGAAACCGCATAAAAGCTGCAATAAAATGAAACAATACTAACAACTCACTATGCGCACAATCTGAGATGATTTAAAGATTTTTTATTACTTCGTGCAGCACCAAGACTTGCTACACAACAGTTTCGATACCCATTCTTCATTGAGTAACCGTAGACTCTACTAGTGTAGTAGATTAGCTCGCCGAAACTTTGATCAAATTTTTAGCTTGCACCAAATTGGTGCTGCAAAGAGCAGTTTCATGCACCTTTCTTCTTGTGCGG